CCCAGTCCCTGCCCCCCTCCCGTGGAGACTGTGGGGCTGGAGCTCCTGGAACCAGCCCGCAAGCGCAACAAGAAACGTTTTCTTCTTGCGCTCGGAAGAGAATCGAAGATGGAAAAGTGATAAAAGTATGAAAAACCGAATAAAACACACACAGGCTGTCGGTGCAGTTCCTGAAATTCAGGGCGTGCTCAAGATGGAGTGGGCCCTTCCCCGCCCACCTCTGCCGCCGAGGGCCTCGCGGGGCACAGGGGCCGTCCCCAGAGACACTGGGGCCCGTAGGGCCCAGAGAGGGGGCCCCCACTTGCCACCACCGCCAGGACACCGCTTCCTTAGCAAGGACACACTGGACCCCAAGTCGGGGGTCCCCCCACACGTGGGAGGCCTGGCTTCGTGAACGCTGAGTAGACTTCAGGGCCCCCACACCCACTGCTCACGGGGGGAGGTGTCTCAGCCCGATCAGGCCTCGTGTTTACGGTTAAACTGAACTTCTCACGTTTGTAAGTTTCCTGCAGAAATGAGCCTCTTCCACCAGGAAGGAAAAACTGAACCACTTTTACCCTGGATCCGGTCACCGGTCCTCTTTTCTTTCCATTAAGGAAATGCTTCCCACTCCCAGCTGAAGACCGACCAAATGGCATGATTACCACTGTATGTGAAGAAGGGAACGTAATTCCTTTTATTAAAATAAATGAATCCCCAAACACAACCTTCAGGATCCATGGTCTCCACCTCAGGTATCAGCACGTGTGTAATTCAAGATGCGCCCCGCGTGTGCCCACACCCGGCGGCGGCTCCCTTCCCTCCGCTTTGCCAGCAGCCCCGTCCAGGGCCCCCCACCCCACCAAAGCCAGCAGTTGTGGGACAACAGAAGGCGTCGAGAAAACCACGCTTAGTTTCTCTCTCCCGGGCAAAACCGGGGTAACCTCGGGCCCCACGGCCGTCCACTTCCTGCTGCTCGTGTGCGTCAGACCTACGGCCAGCAAACAGCGAGAACACAGGGCTGAGACCTTCTGATAAACTATCAACTCAACTCTCCAAAGACAGAAGAATAGATTCATTAACACATGTAAAACACACACACACACAGCTTGTGAGCATAAGGACTTTATGAGTATTACGAGCGACAGGGAACCACCACGGAGCAAAAATGATGAGGTTACAGCAGGGCAACTGCCAGTGGGAGAGGACATGCCCGGCCACCTCCTTTCTGGACGGAACCCGCGACAGAGCTCCCACACACTATTCAGAGGCGGGAAGAGGGCTCTCACCTCCTGTCCAGCCCGCAGGCCTCAACTCACCCACTAGGCTGTTCCTAAGAAGGGAACATATCGCACTTCAGTCTCACCCGAATTTCCAGAATTGCTCAAATTCGGCAAGAGCTTTGAAATCTTCACTTGCTGGTTAAAAAGACGGCGTGTTTTAACTTGTCAGCACAGGTGGGATGAGACGTGCTGCAGCCAACGCCCGGACGGCCGCAAGGGCTCCACCCGCTCAAGGTCAGGTTCCTAACATGTCTCTGCAATAAACGGCTTCCAGAACTCGTGTCTCGGTCACCAGGGAGCCATGGGAAGTTCCCCCAAGTCAGCCCTGACCAAAACCCTCCCCCAGAGGACGGGGAAAAGCAAGGAAAACATCTCTTCTGAGTGAATCAATGGCAAATACACTTTCACAATGTGAACAAACACTCGATAAAAATAATAAAAATATACATCAGAAATTGTGACTTACCACCATCAGATACAGTTGCAGACTGAAAGAAAAGAGAGAGAGACATGAGTTAATGAAGCCTCATGACCAAGTCGGGCAACAGCAGGCCTGTCGTCTGAGGAACAAGCCGCCAGGTCCTCCGGAGGGGCTCCCGGCTCCCAGTGTGGGCGTCCGAGGACGACCAGACACCTCAGTGAGTCAGGAGCTCTGCTCCCACTTCCTGGGTGAACCCCGCCCAAGCCGGGCAGGCCGGGGACACGGGGCTCTGCGGAAGTCATCATCCTTTTCATTCGAAAACAACAAATCCCGGCACGTCTGGCATCATTAGTAACACGCTGGAGAAACCCGGTTTGGGAGCCCGTCGGTGTGCATCGCCCGCAAGCCACACCGGCCCGCGCCAGGCCGCTCTGGCACCTCCACCTGCCGCGGGGACCGGGCCCCTCCCGGTGACGGTGACAGGTGCCCGGGTGACGGCACGGCAGGGGCCAGGAGGGTGCCCGCAGGGGGTGAGAGCGGAGGAGAGGAGGGGGGCCGCTCAAAGGCACCGGGGAAAAGACCCGACGAGTCGGGCAAGGGCAGAACAGGCCAGTAGGAAGGCAGCAGGAGGCTGTTGGGGGGGGGGGGTCCCGGAAGGACAGGCGGTCGGATGAACAGAACGGGCCCGTCGGAGGAGGGCTCCTGGGAGATGCAGGCAGGCGGGGAAGGAGGGAGGCGGGAGGAGCAGCTGAGGAAGGACAGGATCCGGGCGCGCGCGCACCGGAAGCCGGAAGGAGCCGACGAGGGCGGGACTGAGGAGCCCGCGGGGACACCCTACAACCCTGTGGGACGTCCCGGTCACAGCAGGGGCCCAGCTCTGGAGAGCAGGTGCAGGCCAGGCCCGACGGCACTGGTGCTAGGCCTCCCCCGGCCTCCACCACGCGCGGGACCAAACCCCGCAGCTCGGGTTCCGCGGCAGGATGAAGGCCGCACACGCTCCTCTCAGTAGCGGCCGCCGCCCTCCCTGGCTCAGTCCTGGGAGCCCAGCGAGGAGACAGACTTGCACTCGGGTCCTCTCTGCAGAGGCAGCCGAGACCTGAGCGCGGGACTCGAGGAAGCTCTTGCCAAAGGCGCGGCTGACGGCCCATCCCCAGCACCAGGCCCCCCGAGACCTCACACCCCCCAACCTGCGTGCAAGATGGGGGACCCCCCCTCCCATTCTGAGCCCCTCACCTCGTGGGTCTCAGACCTGGAAGGCTCGAGGGCCCAGCTACGGGGTGGATGGCCTTCTGCCCCAGAAAAAGGGCCTGTCCTCTGACAGCCCGGGGAAGCCACGTCCTGATGGTTTTGGAATAGGGGCTTCTCGCTGTTTCAAACCATCGCGGGTCCTGGGGCAGAAACGCCCCAGAACTGTTTCCTGGCACCTTATCGGTACGTTTCCAATAGTAAAACCACACACCGCTGTGTGTCCGGTTTTTACACGTCCATCTTGCCAGACGGGCAGGCGAGCGCGGACTCTGGCAAACCCGCCTGGGCCGTCAGCCCTCGCCCCCCAAGGGCGTGACCTTCCTCACACAAGCCCCCTTCCCAGGCCGACACACGCATGGCGAAAAGCCGTCCTTCCGTACTCACAGTAAAGCACCAGCAACCACGTCATAAAGTCAAATTATTCCCTTGAGATTATGAGAAGAAAACCCACAAGGCCACACATAACGTCGGAAATGCTATCGATAATAATACCAGAAAAACGAATCCTGAAACGTAAACCTCATAAAGGCCATGGCTGACTCCACGCTGTGCTCACAATGGAAAGTAAGTTCTGATGTTAGCAGATGGAGCAAATGCACTACAAATCTCTACGCCCAGCCCCAAAATGAACTCGAGGCACGTCCCCGAAGCCAGGAGAGGCGGCAGAAGGTTGGACAAGAGAGGGGTGTCACGGAGCGTCGCAGGGCAGTGCGCACGGATCCAGGTAAAGCGCAACCAACATGCTTTTCACAGAAGTGTATTTTAGGGGCTCCTGGGGGCTCAGTCGGTTGGGCATCCGACTCTGGGTTTCGGCTCAGGTCACGATCTCAGGGTCGTACCCACGGCGTGAAGCCTGCTTGGGATTCTCTCTCTCCCTGTCTTCTGCCCCTCCCCTGCTCCCAAAATAAATAAATGCACTTAAAAAATATATACTCTTTTTCCAGAATAATTTTAGATTTACAGAAAAATTGTGAAGACGGTATAGAAACAAATGTGCTTTCAATATACTGCTGCTTCATAAACAGCAAAGGAGCCACTAGGCGGGACCGAGGGGTGGGCCGGGCATCGAGTGCAGGGCGCAGGCCACACGCCCCGGGACTCCTGGGCAAAGATGGCCAGCTCCCAAACCCCCTGGGAGGAGAGCGGCCCAACTGAGGCCCCCAGGAGTTCCAAAAAGTGAGCCTGCCCCAGTAAAAGCTCACAACTCAAGAATCCCCCCAAACCCAAGGGAAGAACCCAGGAGGAGAAAGAGCTCCCCGAAACAACTAGCAGATCCTCAGACGCTGGGAGGCTCTGACACAGAACGTCGAATAAAGATGAAATCGTGAATCAAAGTGGTGACGGAGGAAAGAGGAGGTGAGGCGGCAGATGTGACAAGTAACCCTTGATGAGATGCTCACAATGAAACTGCGCTGGCTGAAACGCGACGCTCGGTGCAGAGATTAGCAGTGGTAGGGCTGAAGAGAAAATCTGGGAATTGGAAGACAGCCCTGGAAAAGGTCACACTTGTGGCAGCTCAGAGGCCAGACCGGCCAGGAGGGGGCCACGGGGTGCCACGGGGGTGCCTGGGGGTGCCAGCTTGGACACGGGCCAGCAAAGTCAGAAAGGAGCACTGTCCTGCGGGTGCACACCCTCCGTTCAGCCTGGAGAGCCACCCCCTCGGGCGCCCCTCACGCACGTCCTCCGGGAGAGGGGCTCGGGCGCTCCGTGCGTCACCCTTGTTCACCAGGCTCCAGGAGGGGCTCAGCATCTCTGAGCCACGGCCTCAAACGTGTGTTTCCTTCCCTTTCCCCAGTTTGGGGAGCTGTGCCCAAAGAGTACTTTCCAAGTTTAAAATGCTAAGGAAAGTTCTAGGCGTCTGGAAAGCCGGGGGCTAGTGGGCTCTGTGTGCTAAGGGTCCTCCCGGAGGGGCCTGTAAGGGCTCAGAGGTCACAGATGTCCCCCACCCACCCCACATTTCGGAGAAACAGGTGACGACTTTTCCTGACCACATTATTTCATTTGTAAATGATGTACAATTACCATTAACCTAACTCTTCTGTTTACTGTCCAATATTTATTCTACTTGTAAGCACACACCACCAGGGAGGGGCAGAGCTGGGCCATTACGTCAGCCGATCCCCGCTCGGCACCCCAAGTCCTCAGCCCCTGACGTGGACACGGGAGCAGGCTGAGCAAGGATCAGGGGCCTTCGCTCCAACAGCGGGGAGAGCCAAAAGAGGTGAAGCGGCCTGCCCACGGGGACAGGTGCCGGCGGGGAGGAGTCTGGGAGGTGCCCTGTGGGGAGCACAGGGCACAGCACTCAGCGCTCCGCATTGTGGGAGGGGCTGGGGAGGCCTAGGCAGACAACCTGCCAACAATGGGGCAGTGGGAAAGACGGGGAACCCCCAAATCATTTCTATTTGCCTCAGGACCATGACACGTCCGATTCTGACCCCTGCTACCCTTTTAAAGCCTGGTGTGCATTTTTTTTTTTTTAGCACATCCTGGCCGCTGGAGGGGGGGAGCAGTCCCAAATGGCAAAGCTTCAGAAACTCCCACAGAACATTCCCAGAGAGCAGCTCCCGCAAAGGGGAAGCCAGCTGCTCAGTGTGACTGAAAAGTCAGGCTTTCCCGATTTCTCGGCGTAGGGAGACCCCGGGCCACCGTAAACATTTTTATGAATTACAACTTAACATTCCTAATGTTTGTTCTGTACAATTTGTGTTAATAAGTTGATTTCATTTGCCCGCATTTTTGGGTTCTTCCCAAATTCGCATACCTACATGTGATCCTTACAAAAGAAGCAGAATCGTAAAACCAAGCTTCCAGGGAAGAAAGGTCCCGGTAAGTCAGCACTTTTCTGAGCTTCCAATTAAACACGTGCCGTAATCGTATAGCTCTAAAGAGTTCCAGCACATTCCTGCAAGACGGGAATTCAGTCTGTTTTAGAGAAACTTACGAAGTATTTGAGATACGTGGTTTAAGTTCAAACAATCTCCACTCCTCGGGTCAGTCTCGTAAGCCCGATAGTTCAGTAGAAATCATGTTTATTTCCAGCAGGGAATCTGTCTGGACCACACACATTCCATGCATATTTCATTTGGAATTAATGGTGTGACAATTTTAGACCATTTACACGAAGCACACTGGATGATGAGTCTAGCCTTTACCGAGGTTAAGCCTGCAAGCATTAAACTGTATCATTTCCAAATCACTTCGATGTATAGTAACACACAATAACATCCGTTTTTCATGTTGAGCCACTGACAAAATTTCCCGTCTTAGACACAGAAAGTGTTAGACACCTGGTCGTATCTGAGTCCTAAAGAAGAGACCAGGGCTGCAGGTTGCCCAAAGGCACCAAATGTTCGGAATACAGAGAGAATGTAAACAACCCAAATGATGAAAACCCCGAGGAATTTAACAATTCTACTTGCATCTAATATATGTTTATGTGACTTTTTAAGAACTTGATCGTTTCCGTTTCAAGTGACCCCTCGCCGGGCCGAGTGCAGAGGAGAGCAGGGCGCGTGTGGGGCCTGTTGGGCTCATGCCCTGACTCAGCTCCGCGGGCCCAGACGTCTTCACACTCAGCCACGACCCTCGGCGTTACCAGGTCAGGTCAGTGGCCACCAGCCACGGGTGTGGATGACGATGACAACGTAAGATGGACAGGAAAACGTGAAACCCAAGTGCTTCCCAGATCTACGCTGTGCGCGAGCCCGGCCTCAGAGTCGCACGTGTGCGCGCGCGGGTCCTGCCGTGTCTCCCTGACTCTGAGAGCCGCTGTGGGAAGCCCCCAGCCCCTGCTGTCCCCTCCCCTGGCCAGCCCACCTG